GCACATTTATACTGCAATAGAGACTGTTCTTGCACTTTTGCTTTTGTGCGTTCTAGAGTATGGAAAATGGAGTCTAGTTTTGTGACAGCAAACTGTAAGCGTGCAAAGAACGTTCCCCCTTCCCTGTTTGCGGCGAAAATGGGTCTCTTGGAGAGATTTGAAATAAAACGAAGTTTCTTCGACTCCTTTAATCTCGAACTTTGTGTTGGAAATGATTATCAATGACCACGTAACTTAAAAAATTGTAACATTAAAAATAGAACGTGTAAAATTATTATACTACAAAATTGCACGCTCGTGATTACATCTGACATAAAGAATCGAAGTGACAAGTGGAAGCGTTATTTGTCAAAGAAAATAATGGCAGATAAATCCACTTATCGTGGCTTGGGAACTATTTTTCTAGTTTTTACCCTAGTGTAGTTCAGTTAATCCCAATTGTGCAGTCATGATCTGCATTTCTGATTTCATCAATTCCCTTTCTCATGACGCGATCACAAGACCACTCGAGGGCGAAAAAATGGGAGAAGAAGAGTTTCATTTGCATCGACACTAAACGAGGGAGAATTTCCGCCTGTGCATGTGACACGGATCAATTTTAGGGCGTTTAGCGGCGATATTAGTCACGATTCTCCTCTTAAAGCTAGCTCGATAATCCAAAGTTTCAAATGGCATTTATACATACAGATGCATCTTGTAAATTTTGCTCTACCTAATCTAACCTTGAATATTTCAATTTTTTCTGGAGCTAATTGGCAATTAATTTCTTTTCAGTTGTACTATTTATTGCAAAACATTTTGTATGTTAAAACATATTGTGTATCTTTACAAGAATCGAATAGGATATTAATTTCACCATATGAACAGGCCAAAAGGTTGCGTGTGTCTGTGACCCTGTGTGATTGTACAACGCGAAAAAATTAACGAGATTTCATGCAAAAGAAACAGAGTAAAAAGGTGAAGGGGGACGAATACATAATGTCAGGGGTTCAACGATGCACCGGCTAATATAAACATTACACCGCTGGGACTAACTTGCCGCAGGGGTTTTTACGCCGGGTGCCGCTATTACACTAACCTTCAATGGGAAAATCATCGTATATTATACCATAGTGTGCCATATGCAGGGATCATTTTAGAAAACCAATCGATAATCCTTTTCACTTTCACACTACAACTTTACTTCCTTCATATATTTTTTACTCTTCCAAATTATTTACAAGACTTATTTATATTAATATAAATAAG